GGCTGCGGCAATGGGCTCAAGCATACTGAGGATTGTGAGGGTGGCATAGGACCTGGCATTTTTTTGTTCTGTTGTGTATAGTGTTGCTATGAGTTGGAATCAACTTGAGGGCACCTTACAACAACAACTGAGTTTCTTATAGTGGAATCATACTGTATGGACTCTTATGTGTGCCTTCTTTTGTTCAGCCTAATACTTTTTAACTGTATCCATATTGTTACACCCACCAGCCACTTCTCGGAAGGAAGATGGGGCAATCTACTTCTGTAGTGATACTACCTGGGAAACCCAAGGAGGGGTCACTATGAGTCGGGTCTGACTCGAGGGCAAACAACAACAACAACATATTGTTATATAATATGTAACATATTATATGGATACAGTTAAAAAGTATTGGGCCGAACAAAAGAAGGCAGAGTGGCTTAGTGCCTAAGGCATGTGACTGCTAACCAGAAGGCTGGCGGTTCAAATCCATCAGCCACTCTTTGAAAGGCAATCTACTTCCGTAGTGATACTGCCTTGGAAACCCAAGGACGGGTTGCTATGAGTAGGATCTGACTCGACAGCAGTGAGTTTGGGGTGTTTTTTTTTTTTAATTGTTACATGTATCATGAGTTTGTTCCTTTATATTACCGAATAGTATTTCTGCTTGACTGTACCAGAATTTGTTTTTATTTTTGTTCAGTTCCTAACAGACATTTCGACTGTTTTTGGTTTGGGGCTATTATGAATAAAGCTGCTGTGAAAATTTGTTTTATTTTTTTTGGTGGATACCTGGGAGTGGAATTGTTGGGTCTTAGAGAAAACTGCCAAATAGTTTTTCTTCACATCCTCGTGAGCAGTAAGTATCATCAGTTGTTTTAATCCAGTCCTTCTAGTGGATGTGAGGAACCTCTGGGTGGTACAAAGGGTGGTTAATGAAGTTGGTTGCTAACCTAAAGATTGGAGGTTGGAGTCCACGCAGTGGCACTTTGGAAAAAAGCCTTTTGATCTACTTCTGAAAAATCAGCCATTGAAAACCCTTTGGATCAGAGGTTGTCATGAGTTTGAATGAATGACTCTATAGTAACTAGTAATGATGTGAGTTAGTGGGCCATTGTGGTTTAATTTGCATGTCTTTGATGACTAGTGGTGTTGAGCACCTTTTCACATGTTTACTAGCCATTTTTATGTCTTCTTTTGTGAAGTATCAGTTCATGTCTTCTTTTTCACTGCTACCATTTTCATGTGTGTATAGCTTTTTGATTTTCAAATGAATAGAATTTATTTTTAGGTTTACAAAGGAATGGTGCAAAGTACAGAGTTGCCATATATCCCCCTAGCACAATTTCTCCTATTATTACCATCTTGCATTTTCTGTTGTATATTTGTTGCAATTGATGAACCAGTATTGATACATTATTATTAACTAAAGTCTACAGTTTACACCAGGGTTTACTCTGTGTTGTAACTCATGTTATTTATTTATCTATTTTATTGTTTAGTCATAGGAGCTCACATCTGTGTTGTGGATATGAGTCCTTTGTCTAATATATGTCAGTCTGTGGCTTGACTTTTATTTTTTAAAATAAATTATCAGTTTGGGTAAGCAGACATATCCATTTTATTATCTAGATTAGAAGTATTTTTTGTTCTTAATGTTTCATTGGATTAAAAACACTGACCCTTTGACGGTCACTATGACTTGGAACTGACTTGAGAGCATTGGGTTTTTTGGAAACTTTTAGTAAGGCAGTCAGGTTTAACTTGCAAGAACTCTTTCTTGATTATTTCCTTTTAAAAAAGAAATTTGCTTTTATTTATGTGTGTAAAGTTATTGAACCTCATAGAGAAAACTGCCAAATAGTTTTTTTTCAGAGCTGCCTTTTTTCCCCCAAAATTATTTGTTTTTCTGTTGCCATTGATTTTTCCTGGTGGTTTTTATTGCCTTGATGACCATCAGTTGTGTAGTGCCATGTGTGAATGAAGGCCTAGTGCCCAGGAGGGTTTGTGTGTTGGGAGCGGGTGGCAGGGTTTGTTGGAAGAAAGAATGACTTAATGGGTGCCACATTTGGGATCTGATCCCTTAATAAGATACATAATCCTGGTCACAACCACAGACCTCTTCTCTATATCGGATTCTGGCCTTGGAGTTCTTTGGGACCTGCTGGATGGACCCTGGGCATTTGGGTTTGCATTTTTTCCATTCATCTTTCCAGATTCAGTGTTTATCTTCCTGGAACTCCTCAGAGTTTTACTGTTTTTGTGTTCATTTATGTTGACAGTTTCCTTCTAGAAGTATTCCTGTTGCCTTTTGAGTATTTTGGTGACTGGCATGTGCCCAGTCAGCCTCTTGGACCAGAGGTGATGATGGAGGACAACAAGTACTCCAGGTGTCCTGGAGACATGTGCTTGGCATGGTTGCCAGAAAGAATGGAGGCAGGCAGCAGGACCCTAAGGGTGGAATTTCATCTTGTGAGAAGCAGTTAGAAACACACAGAACATTTTGTGTCATGTGAACTCTTTGAGTTTTATTCTAAGTGTTTGATGTTGAGAATCCAATAGAGGATTTTAACCAGGGAAGTACATGAGGCAGGGGGCTCAAGGTAGGAAGAAGGTGGGGCATGCACTGGGGGCATTTAGTGGAGGAGGCAGCGGAGGAAGAAAGTAAGTCTGGAGCAAGGGTAGGCCAGAAGCCAGGGAGGCTGTGCTGAGCAGGTCTGCATATGGTTGTGGCTCCCTGCCTTGATTCTACATGGTAAATGGGCTACCCTCAGGTAGAAGTGGGCATGTGGTGAGCACCTTGTGTAGTCAGCACCTCAGAGGCCTAGGGCTCTGATGTAATAAGGATGAAACTAACAGAAGGGTGGTGGATAGAAAAAGTATATGAATGTTGAAGTATGAGTTGTGAGCCCTCTTGCTGTTTCCTGTTTTAACCATTAGGTCAGCAGTGTAGTTCTTTGTGCTTAGCTTGCCTGTGCAAAGTTACTGCCTGCATGTTTAGACATGTGTCACAGGATAACAGCTGTTTCTGCTGGTGCTTGTTGCACCACAGGCCTGGCCACTGGCTTGAGCATGTTGAGTTTCTAACTTCTCTAAGTGCTGGCTCTGGTTCTTGTCAACATCCTCATCCCTAAACCTCATGCCCTTCTGACTTCTGGTTCTAGTGTGTTGTGGTCTGGAATACTTTATTAGAATTGTATGATGTTTAGAATTAGTAATGTTTAGAATGAAATGATGTTTCATTCTTTTAAAAAACAGTAAATGGTTGTTGAAGGAACAAAGGCCTCAGAGGTGTTTTTATGGAAAAAGTTATTAGTTGCCATCGAGTCAGTTCTGACTTATGGCAACTTCATGTTCAGTTGAACATAGTGTTGTCTGGTCCTGTGCCATTATCACAGTCATTGATATGCTCAAGTCCATTGTTATAGCCACTGTGTATTTTGAATACCTTCAAACCTATCGGATTCATCTTCCAGAAGTTTGTTGAACAATGGTCTGTTGTGATCTGCTGTTTTCATTGGCTGATTTTTATTTATTTATTTATTTATTTTTTTTAGGATTTGGGTGAAGATTTACAGAGTAAATTCACTTTTCATACAGCAGTTCACATATACTTTGTCTCATGTCATTGACCAAAATTTACAATGCAGCAGCTCCCCTCCCACTTCCTCCCCATAGTTACCTCCTCCCAGTGTCCATCCCTTCATACTCTTCTGCACCCTGAGCTATCTCCCTGTGCACAAGCAGCCCTTCCTTCTCCCATGATTGTTCTCTCCAGGGCGTGTGTCTACTTGAGGTACTCACATGCCTATACTTTGTTTGGCTGGAAACCACAGTTGTGGGTTCAATTCCAGACCTGAAGGGCAGCTAGGGGCCATAGTCTCAGTGGTTCCACCAGGCTCCATTGGACCAGCAAACCTGGTCCCCACCTTCTTTTTTTTTTTTTTTTTTGCCTCCAAATGATTTTGAGTTTTGTTCCACATTGTTCTCCCTCTTTATGCAGGATCTCCTACATCCCTTCCAAGTGGATGGCAGTGGTAGCTGGGCACCATCTAGTTCTTCTGGTCTCATAGTTGTATAGATTGCAGATCGGATGGTGTACCAGTCGCTAGGACTGATTGTTTCCATTAATTTTGGTTTTCTTCTTTCTTCTTGACGAGGAGAGACCCATTGTTGCATCTAGATGGCAGCTTCCTAGCTTTTAAGGTCCCAGTCACTACTCGCCAAAGTAGTAGGGGGAACAATGTTTTGTATAGTATGTTATGCATTGGCTGATTTTTAGAAGTAGATCACCAGGCCTTTCTTTCTAGTCTTGTCGTAGTCTAGAAGCTGCACTGAAACCTGTACACCATGGGTGACCCTGCTGGTATTTGAACTACTTGTAGCATAGCTTCTAGCATCACAGCAACATGTAAGCCACCATAGTACAAAAAACTAACAGAAGGGTGGTGGATAGGAAAAGTATATGAACCTTGAAGTATGAGTTGTGAGCCATCTTGCTTCCCAGGAATTCCTCTTGTGGTGCAGACTCCTGGATGAGGGAGACCAGATTCAGATGGCACGTTGCAGGGCTAGAGTGCCTCAGACCTTGGAGAGCCAGCCATCAGCCTCTGTTGTGCACAGAGCAGCTTCTGTGTGAGACAGAGTTCTGGACATCTTTATTTGGGCCTGTTCGCTGTCTCATTCTGTTATGTAGCCTGCTGGATTTAGAATATTCTCCTGACACTTCCTCCTGAAATTTGGTGACAGAAAAGCTCAGTGTACAATGGGCTTTGGGAGCATGAGGCTACCTTTGAGACCTTGGAACTGGGTCACACTTCACAAGCTCCCTTGTGATGGCCTGGTTCTTTCCTATTGCTGCACACTCTGAGCACCAGGCAAGTGGCCTGTTGTAGTCTCTAAAGTACCACCATCATAACCAGCCTCTTCTCTGCCCCACCCCCATTCTGGAAAAGGCCTTTGTGGAGAGTTGGGTACACAGTTGTCAACTACTCACTGTGTTTGTGTCCTCCTTCTAGGACCGGAAGCTCACCAAACTGGAGCGGCAACGGTTTAAGGAGGAGGCTGAAATGCTGAAAGGCCTGCAGCATCCTAACATTGTGAGATTTTATGACTTCTGGGAGTCCAGTGCTAAAGGAAAGCGATGCATTGTGCTGGTGACAGAGTTGATGACTTCAGGGACACTGAAGACGTAAGCGTTCTGCCTTGCTTGCCAGGCTTAGGGTGTGTCTCAGCCTGGCAGCAGGGCCACAAGAGTAGAGGGTGGCTGTGTGGCTAGGATGATGCCTAGGGTTCACATTCTTTCTTTAGAATGTTCCCGTTTACATGATAAGTTATAAGAACCTCCCAGCAACAGGAAGTACCCCACAAATGAAAAGAAACACATCAAAGCAACCTCAGAAATAGCCTTTTAGCATTAGGCTTCTTTTGGCCTTCCTCAGACTACAGCTTCAGCCTGGGTTCTAGCTCACACATTATAATTGTTTGGGAAATGGGCTATTATCTGGGTGGGACAATGGTGGGGTAGAGCCCACTGACCACAAGAAACTACCCCTTTCCTCTTGAACTGGATTGAATATGCTGTTAATCCCCACAGGGAAGGAGTCAGCATACTGGGTTCCTGGTGGCCCATCATTCTTCATCAAAGACCTTGGTCTGTGCCCTGTGGGGAGGAAGCAGCCTCTCCTCTGGGTGGGCGTAGCCTATTGTCTATCGGAAATGCTCAAGCTCACAGGTGAACAAGTGAGAACCCAATGCAGAATTCCTTTCCCAGCCTTCCTACCTCCTTCTCTTGGGGGCTGGGTTCCAAGCAGACACAGCTATCTAGGTGTGGGAGCTGAGCTCTTGGGCTGTAGGTCCCATGTATGCTGCAAGCCCAAACTCTCCAGTCTCTTAGGTGTCCTGTTGTTGCCAGTGTATTGAGGACATCAGTGCCCTGTCCTGATGACAGCAGTGTTGTGGCTGGGTGAAGTTTAGCAGCATGTTCCTGTGTGAGAGAAGTTAGGGCAGGGGCATGGGCTGGACCACAGCCTTCACAGCCAGGCTGGCTGTACTCTCTCGGCCTGGCTGTCTAACTGTGTGCTCTCAGCCTGGGCAGCACTGCTCAGTTCCTCCTGTATGGTGGCATTCTCAAACTATCACCACCTGCACACAGGTTGGGTGCCAAGGGAAAGCTTAGCTCCACCAGCTTTGATGGAGCCCAGTGAAGGACACATTGCCCTGCTGCTTGGTGAGTGTCCTGTGCCTTCTCTTCCAGGTACCTGAAGCGGTTTAAGGTGATGAAACCCAAAGTTCTTCGCAGCTGGTGTCGGCAGATCCTGAAAGGCCTGCTGTTTTTGCATACTAGGACACCACCTATCATCCATCGAGATCTGAAATGTGATAATATTTTTATCACTGGACCAACTGGGTCTGTGAAGATTGGTGACTTGGGCCTGGCCACCCTCAAAAGAGCGTCATTTGCCAAAAGTGTGATAGGTATGCCCATTCTTGCCTTCTTTGAGACCCAGGAGCACAGGAATTGGGTAGGGCTTAGGCAGCCCAATGTCTGGTTTGACTGCCTGCCTCAGGCCTGGGGCAGGAACCCCATGAAAGGTCAGGATGGGCCTCAGTTCAGAGGTGCTATGCTTGCCTGCAATGCTTGCCGCACCCTCCACCCCCCAGCCCTCTAGTTGCCTAGCCCTGCAGAATCTGCTTACCAGGTAGGCAGCCTTTGCTGAGGAGACAACTGGTACCTACTCTCCCACCTGGCCCTCCACACTGGAGACCTGACCTGAGCCATGTTTCACACTGGCCTCCTGGCAGCATGTTCATCTCCATAGCTGGTGGTCTAGGTGGGGAGACAGGACACTGTGGAGGGCCCATCCAGTGTGGGTACAGAGAGTGGAGGAGGCCTTGGCATGGGGACAGAAAGGGCTTGTGGTATGATGCTAGCCTTGTCTTAGTGGGCTGCAAAAGCATTTGGGAATCAAATGTGACTAGACAAGAGGCAGAGTGAACATGGGGGTGGGTGGAAATGTGGGGATAGAGAGGCAGTTTTGCATCTGTTTTTCTCATCCTTTAGTAGTCAGCTCAGAGGCCCCTTCTCTGAGAAGCTGCCTCCATTCCCGAGCCTTTTCCGATGAAGCTCCCTGGGCGATTGGCTGCTGTGTAGGGCATGGTGTCTATGTCTTAACCCTGTGTGTACCCAGCCCAACATATATCTACCCTTACCCTAAGGTTGCAGTAGCTGGGAGAACACTGTGAAATGTGAGTGCTTGGAGGATCTATGGGGTTCAGAGTTCTGGAGTGAATTGTACTGGGAGTCAGGCAGCACCAGGTTGTGTTAGCAGCTGCATCAGAAGAGCCCTGTGTTAGGGAGTCCCTGGTGGGAGGATTTGGGAGTACAAGCAGGGCAGGGAGTGGTTGATGTCAGGGCTTTGTGTGTTAGTGGCTTGTGGCACACTTTGGGACAGTACTTGGTCTGTTTGCAGAAAATGAAGCTGTTGATGGGGTCTGAAAACTATGCTTTGGTTGGAGCAGTGCATTCAGAGTGTTCAGTCTGGGAAAAGGGTGGCTGCCTAGGGGGTTCTAGGTGGGGCCACAGATAGCCTTAGGGGTGTGGGGAGTGGTGAGGGCAGGGCCTCTGGAGTTTCAAGGGCCTGCTGTGCAGCCTCAGGCCTCAGTTTGTCCATTTGTGAAATGGGAATGTGGAAATTGAGTAAGTGATGGTACCTGCCATCCTGAGGAGGATAAGAACAGGGCCCAGCTGGGTCACACACTCCAGGGCTCTGCATCCTTGGTGGTGGCAGGGCAGCTTTGCAAATTTGGCCCCAGAAAGTGTTAGAAGTCTCAAATACTAGGTTAGTTGGGATGGTAGGAAGGCTCCTTGAGGACCACCCATCTCAGACAAAGCACACTAAAAGCTGCCAAGATACCTGACAGGGGAACCTTTGGGCTTTCTCTGACTATATGCTCTCTTCTCTTGAAATGGGGTTCAGAGTTCTAGGGCCAGGGTGGATGCTGTGAGTGTGTTGAGATGGAAGCTGACTTTGTCCAGTGAGCACGAGGTCCAGCCTTGTGGGATGTCCCTGGATGAAGCTGAGTGAGAAGCTGGGACTAGGGAGTTCACATCCTCAGCTCTTTTGTCCTGTTGGGAATGTATGTGGATCTTCTGAAGCACTAGGCAGTGAGCAGCAAACACTTTTGAGTGGGAAGCCCACAGGCAGGGGGTGGTCCACCTAGGCTTTCTAATAGGGTATCTCCCACTCAGGCAAGCTAATAGAGGGACTCCCACCCTGGCCTACTAATGGCATTGGTACAGGCTGCCTAGATGAGCATTTGTCCTGGTAGTAAAATGGACCAAGTCCTCCTGGGGTCTACATTCCTTGTCGAAAGGCTAGCTTCCCCTCTGTCTGCCTTGCCCCTGAGGAGGAGGAGCCTTTCTGTGTGTGTCCGTCATTGAGGATTGTGGGGGATAGTAGATACAAGAGCTTGTTTCTGGCCTGACACTGAAGCTTCTTCTTTGGCATTTTAGCTGTGACCCACTTTGCAGTGCCTTGTCAGTGGGGGCTCCTCATGTGTGCCCAGGGCTCAGGAAAACTCTGACAAGCCTCTGCTGGGTTTTGTGCTGTTTTGAAAGCAGTGTTGGGGACCTTTGTGACTCTGGTCAAGGACTTTCATCATGCCTGGGGCCTCTAGTGGGAGGAAGAGTCTGTCAGATTGAGTAAGATGTATCTGTAAGCATGCAGGCATGGTTAGCCTTAGTGCCTGGGCATTGCTTGTGTCATCTGTGCCTTGGTCCCAGCTATAAGGATGTGCTGTGATACCATGAGCTCACAGAACTGCATCTCAGATGTCGTTTATCCAGAAGGGCTCCTGTCTGTGTGTTGGAGGCAGGTTGGGGGAGGTGGCATACCCATAATGGCTGAGTGGGCTGGCCTTGGCCCTTGGTGACCCAGACCAGGTGCTATGACTTCTTAATTTTTATAAGCAGGTATGTCTTCAAGTCTTTGGACACCCTCCTGGGCACTTCATTAGGGAGGACTCAGGAGCCAGAGGAGCCTACTGGCTCAGAAGTCCAGTCACGGTGGCTTATAGATAAGAGTGCAACCCATGGAATGGGGCTACTGGATATATCACATAGCTGGTGACAAGGCAGTGACAAGTACCACATTTGGGGGCTTCTGGGTAGATGTTGAGATGTACATCCATATGTATATATACACACAAAGAGAGAGACACACATATAATGTGCACATATACACATACATATATGCACAGCGACACATACACAATGTGGATATGCACATGTTCACACACACACATGCACACAGACATGTACACATATACATGCATGCATACAGAACTGACATGCAGACACATGTACCACATGCATAATATACACATGGGTAAGTTTTAAAATTCCTATTTAAATAACTATAAGAGAAAAAAAATGGAATGGATCAAAGAACACGTTCCTGAGAGCGTTCAGGGTATGTTTGGGTGTTCCTGAGAGCCTATGCACAAATAGATATTATTAGAAGCTCTCAGTCCTGGACTTGTAATCTTTTGGCTGAGCTGAGTCTCCATTCCTGCATGCTCTCTAACCATGCAACAAAGCCTGGCTCTCTGGAATAATAATTACAGAGTGGGGCTTTCTGCCTTCCCAGCTTTCTGAGGATCTCAGAGAAAGTGTGCCTGCGGCTGCTTGCTGCTCTGGGGCTGCTCTGGGGTAGTCATATGTCTAAGGACCTCCCATCTAGGCCTCAGTGCTACACAGGCAGCTAAGGAGAGTGCCCCTTGGGCACTCCTGCAGGCCTTGGACACTTGTTCCTTGGCCCTATGTGTCCTGTCCTAGCTACCCTTGTGGGTAAGGGCTGAGGCTGTTCAGGCCCCTCTTCCCTTCATGGGGCTGGCATTTGCCTACAAAGTATTAGGGTAGATGCCCTTCCAGGACCCAGCCCACGGCCTCTGTGAGTATATCTAAGGCCTCTTTGTGAGCCCACCTCCCCACGTGACCATTGTCACCAAACAGCCCTGCCTTTCCCATCCCTGCAAGACAGCAGCATGAGTGCTTGGTGAGGGCCTGAGCTCTGGGCTCCCCTTGCTGTGATGAGTTGCTGTAGTGGTTCTTGGTTCGACTCCACTGTAATGGACCCAGGGCAGGCTTAGGGGTGGTGGGCCCAATGAGAAAAGAAGCCACCCAAGGCTATAGGGATGAGTCATGGGTTCAAATTTACACCTCCTTGGACAGGTTCTGAGCTGCATCCTTGTGAGACTCATTCAGACCACACCTGGGGACAAGACGTCTTTACTTCAGGCCTGAGCCTGGGCAGTGAATTCCCTGTTTTGACTATCTTAGAGGTGGAAAGAAACTTAAAAAAAATATTAACTTAAAAATTATCAGTGGAAAGTATTTTCAGCACTGTCGTGTGGTTTGAAAACCCCAAAGGATGGAAAATGCCAAGTAAGAGGCCTGCCACCCATCTTCTCTGCTTGTCTCCCATGATTTCTGATATTTTCTTCCAGAATTCTTCATGGTTCTAAGCAAATCTAAGTATAGGTTGTTTTCTTCATTTTTCACCCAAGATGTTAGCTTTTTTGTTAAATATACCTGGAAATTATGGGCAAATGAAAACTGATAATTAAAACCACTTGTGACCCACTCCATCCCAGAGATAACTATTGTAGATATTTCTGTGTACTTTCTGACCCACCACATATATGTTTTTAATGAAATTAATAGTTTGTGATGTTTTATACCTGCTTTTTAAAAAATACTAAAATGTTTAAAAATTTTTCCAAAGTTAACCAAAAAAACACTGAAATTAAAAACAGCCTTATAAAAGTTTATTGTCCCTTTTCTTTGCATTCAGCACAACAGATACTCAGTGGACTTGTTTCAGTAGAGTTTTTATGAAAGCTTATAGAAAATTGTTATTACAAAAAACAAATATAACTGAAAGTCCCATCTCTCAAACAGACTCCTTTTTCCCTATCTACATTGTTTTATATAGGTTGAGCCATCACTACATACAATCTTATGCTTTATTTTACATAGCCTATCATAAGTTTCCATGTCATTAAATTGGCATTATTTCAAGTCTTTTGTATTTAACATAGTACATATAGTCTCTGGTTACCAGCTCTCTCATGCTTGGAGGATGGAGGTGTAGCATTGTCTCCCTTGCCCTGTTCATGCTGTCTCCAGTGGTGACAGAGGAATATTCTGTCCTGGGAATGTGCCACAGTTTACCTAGCTGGTCTTGGTTAGGAACACGTAGGGCCTTTCTGCTTCTAGCTCAGTGATGACTGCTGAGCTTTTGTCTATCTTGGGTTATTCAGATGCTGGTCAATGCTGGGCCTGTCATTAGTATGACAGCATCTAAGAAGGTGAGGGAGAATGTGCCAGAGGTGTGTGTCCCCTTGATGAGACTTGTGTTTCTGGGTCAGGACTTTATTCCCTGGGAAGTAGTAGTCTCTCCCAACACTGTGGGCAGGAATGGCACTACAAGCTCATTCCTGAGCTTTCATTCAGCCCTAGAATCATGTGGTTTAAGGTAGAATTTCAGCACCCATCTATCTGTGGAGCATTTCTGTTTGAATCTTGGATTCTGAGACTTGTTGGATGACACAGAATGTGAGGTAGTTGGCTCTGGCCAGCCCCAGGTGCTGGTCACTGAAGACTGACCTGCCCTGAGAGGTGGGCAGCTTAGTGTACCACATAAAGGGTTGAGGAAGGATGGTGGGCCTGGGGCATTGGCTCACTGGTGTTTCTGGGCCCCATGGTGGCTGACTCCTGTATCTGTTGTTCTTGGGCACAGGTACCCCTGAGTTCATGGCACCTGAGATGTACGAGGAGCACTACGATGAGTCTGTGGATGTCTACGCCTTTGGGATGTGCATGCTGGAGATGGCCACTTCGGAGTACCCCTACTCGGAGTGCCAGAATGCTGCCCAGATCTACCGGAAAGTCACCTGTGTGAGTTGATCATGGACTACCTTGCTAATAGGACACATGCTGGGCTGGGCTCTTTATTCCTTTTTAAAATCCACACATCAGCTGCTGGGCAAGGAAGAAACAAAGCCATATTATAGGTGGAGAAACTGTGACTGAGGGAGCATGAGTTGCTTGAGGTTGCAGAGCTAGTAGTGAAAATCATGTGATAATAATAGTAATTATGATGGATTGATAGGTTGCCGTGTGCTTTGAACTCCACTACAACAGTGAATACTCTTAGTTACTTCTCCACTGCATAGTGGGGAAACTGAGGCTCAGAGAGTTTAGTGTGTTCATGGGGCACCCAGCCAGAAGGCACCTGGTCTGCCTGTCCACAGAGTGTTTCCTTTGAGTTGCCACAGAGCTGCCTCTTCCCCATCTTCTTTATTTGCAAACATAGTCTCTTTTCCTTTTTAGCAAAGTGCTACCACTAGACCGGGGCACCCTAGGCAGTGGTCAGCACCGGGCAGGCAGTCCTGGGAATGCGAATCCCTCTTTTGCTGTCATTGTGACTTTTGCTTAGATTAGATGGTTTAAATTGAGCAAACCAATCAGGTGGCAGGTCACTGTAGTTCTGGGGAGTTCCTCACTGTGTCCTGCACCTTAGTGAGGTGCCAGCTGGAGCATGGGGAGCCAGTATGGGGACTGTGGCAGCCACTCTTCATAATACCTGAACACAGATAGGGCATGTGCTGCTTCTCAAGCCCCCATGCTTGCCTGTGCTGCTGCTGTTTCTGCAGATGCTCTCAGGTACCAGTGCAAAAGGCAGTTTGGTTTGGTTGACTCTGGGACAGATTTACCCTCATCCCGTCCTCTCTACTCAGGCACTTCTTGCAGGTCATAGCTCATTTCTCTCCTTTGACTGCTAATTCTAAATTACTGGTCATTTGTTCACTTGTTAGTTCATCTTGAACCCCCACTGCATGCTAGGCAGTATGTTTGGCACTGAAAATGTAGGGAGGCAAAGACAGTGTCGTAGACTTATGGCACTGTAGATGTGAGTCAGGAACCTAGCAACAGATGCCCAATCCCCTGGTAAGTTCTAAAAGAGGAGGAGAGTGCTCTGTGAGCTCTCATACAGAAGTGCTTGCAGGAGGTCCAGGCAGTGTGCCAGTGGAAGGAAGGAGGGGATTTGAGAGATGTTTAGGGGTTCGTGCCTAAGGCACTTGACTGCTAACCAAAAGGCTGGAGGTTCAAACCCACCAGCCACTCCTCGGAAGGAAGGTTGGGCAATCTACTTCCATAGTGATACTGCCTCGGCAACCCAAGGAGGGGTCGCTATGAGTCGAGTCTGACCCGAGGGCACACAACAACAACAATAACAACAACAGAGGGGTCTTTAAGTAAGAGCACAGCAGGAGGAGATGCAACCCCTGAGTTTCTTTTTCTTTTTTTCTTATTGTGATTTGGGTGAAAATTTACAGAGCAAATACACTTTCCATACAGCAGTTCACAAACATGACATTGACCACAATTTAGCACAATGCAGCATCTCCCCTCGCACTTCCTCCCGATAGTTATCTCTTCCCTGTGTCCATCTCTCCATGCACTCCTATCCCCTGAGCTGTCTCCTTGTACCTGAGCAGCCCTTCTTTCTCTCATGCTTATTCTCTCCAAGGAGTGTATCTACCTCAGGTAAATGTTCAACTGATATGCCTGTCTATTGTTTGTCTGGAAGCCACGGGTGTGCGTTCAATTCCAGACCTGAAGGGCAGCTAGGAGCCATAGTCTCAGTGGTTCCACCAGGCTCTCTTGGGCCAGCAAACCTGTTCCCCACTTTTTTTTTTCCCCCCCAAATGATTTTGAGTTTTGTTCCACATTGTTCTCCAGGATTGTCTATCCAGGATCTCCTACAAAGATCCTCTTCCAAGTGGTTGACAGTAGTAGCCAAGCACCATCTGTTTCTTCTGGTCTCATAGTCATATAGGCTGCAGATCGGATGGTGTACCAGTCGCTAGGACTAACTGTTTCCATGAGTTTTTGTTTTTCTTCATTCTTCTTGGCTTTGGACAAGGAGAGACTCATCGTTGCATCTAGATGGCAGCTTGCAAGCTTTTAAGATTGCAGTCACTACTCACCACAGTAGGAGGTGGAACAATGTTTTGTGTACTATGTTATGCCAATTGAACTTCATGTCCTCTGTGACTATGGTCCCGAGCCCACAAGTTCAACTCCTCAGTCCCTCTGGGTAGCTGGCTATGACCAAGCAGTGACTACAACCTTGCCTCTTGTCAGCCCCATTATACACCTGGGAATTCAGATCATACACATAAAGTTATTGGACCATTGTCTGCCAACCCTATACATGTTCTTGGGTGCACTCTCCACTTTGTATACATACCTAATATTTCAGCCTGTCCACCCATCTATCCACCCATATACCCGTGCTTACCTTCACTGACTATGCCGTACTATATGCGCAAAAGATTCATCTTTGTTGTCTGTACTTCCCATGTACCTCTCTATGTCTTTCTCATCCTCAATGCCACTATATTGATCACTCATGTTTGGTACATTGCCCTTTTCTTCACCCAAATCAAAACTTATCTCTATCTTTCTAACAGTATTTCCTACCCTACCCTCCCACCCCTGGTAACCAACAAAGAAAATGATCTTCCATAGATAAACCTTTCCTTGACTATTACAATAATGGACTAATACAATATTTGTCCTTTTGTGATTGACTTATTTCACCCAGCATAATGTCCTCCAAGTTTATCCACGTTACGCGGTGTTTTGCAGATTCTACATTATTCTTTAGTGTTGCATAGTATTCCATTGTGTGTATGTACCATAGTTTGCATATCCATTCCTCAGTTGATGGACACCTAGGTTGTTTCCATCTTTTGGCTATTGTAAATAGTGCCATGATGAACATGGGTGTCATACGTGCAGAAGAAGGAAAGCTTGATGTTGCTAGGGTTGGTTTCTAGGGCTTTGAGCAGGCTATTATTGACGACATATTTATTTGCAAGACCGCAGCTCAACCTCAGGAAATATTCCTATTGTTAGATCGTTGCAAATTTCCACCAATTTCAGCCACACTCAAAGACCCCGCCTCTGCAGCCCCACAGTGCCAAAGAACGCCTCCAAGGCAACATTTGTGGGACCACACTCAGCTGCGTTTTCTTCACTCTCCATGCCCCGTCTGCCCATGGTGCTGACACAATACCGCCAGACCGCTAATGGCCGGCTCTGGAGTTTGTCTGTGATACCACCCACCTGTGGCACCAAAGATGCACACAATTTCAGCTCTGTTGGAGTCAGCGGAGTACCTGCTAGTGACCTGCATTCCCGATATCCACAGCAAAGAAAAGCACAGTGTCTTCCAGTCTGACCCAAGCCCGCTCTGTGATCTGCTGGGAGGGGAGGGAGCTAGCCTTTCTGGTGCAACAGTGGGCTCTCCACCTGAATCTCAGTAGTGGTACCCGTGCCCGCCTGCACCCAGATGATCCAAATTACTGAAAAAATCAGCCTCTGGAGGCAGGTCTCTGCTGCTGCCCGCTGGAATATTGTAGTGGTCGCTGGTATGCTGCTATAAGGTGTCTTCCTTCTTGGCTTGGGGATCTGAGGCAGCCTCCCTCGCCTGGCAGACAGTGACAACTCCAGGAAAGTTTCCAGTGGCCTCTCTTGGGTGCCCGTGCATCCTCTGCCAGTAGCTCTTTCCTAAATAATCTCCATGTGCCTTTCCTATAATTCTGCCCTTCTGTGTTTGGTGCACTCTGATCAAGTGAGCTGTTCAGAGCACCAAAGTCCCTAATTCAAACTGTTGTACCTAGTTTTCAAAGGCCTTAGATGCCAGAGGGAAAAAGCGTGCTACTCACTGGTGAGACTCCATTTTGAATTCTGTGCTGAGTTTCTGTTTTAAGAAAGTGGGTGATGGACACTGGTTGTCTGCAGAGCTCAGAAGGGCAGGGATTGAACAGCACCAGGTGCGATGACTCCTCCACTAGCCCATTGTTCTCCTAGATCCTGGGAAACAGTTATTAAGTAGGCCCATGTCTGTTTAGGGCTAAGCAAGGGCCCCCTTTGAGGAAACAAAGAAAAGGAAGTGTTCCCTTATTTTTGCCAATAGTACCTGACAGTGTGGCCTACATGCCCTGTTGCTTCAATACCTTCCCCCCACCCCAACACAAGGTCTTGCCCATCCATGATCTACCCACTCTCTCTGGGACCCCTAGGACCTCACTTTTAGGGCCTCAATGCCCTCAGCCAGCACTTGGCCTCCCAGGACTCAGGGTCTGAGCATTAAGACAGGGATCCTCTTAAGAGCACCATGATCTTTGTCTTTTAGGTATTATTCACCTTTTTTGGGGAGCTCAGCTTTTCAGAAGAAGTTTACATTGAATATGTATACACACACATACACACATACAGACACATACATACATACATTGAGGGAGGGTGAATGCTGACAACTGAGTCATTGCTGCTCTCCCAAGAAGGAGCTGTCCATATTGTCATGCCCTCTTTATTTGTTGTTTTTAGTAAAATTTGTGTTAGTGAAGCTGGGTAAGGTTCCTATGATGAGCTGTACCATCAGAGTATATGTGAACTGTGGGGTTAACAGCCTTAAAGCAAGGAGACCCTGCTCCAGGCTTCAACAGCCCTCCTGTTACAGTCCCTAGTTACTGGACTGCCCTATACCCTAAGCCCTCAGTCTTTCCCCAAGTCCCTGTGGCAGCTGAATTTGTAGATAAAGGACAAATTCAAGGAAATCTGGTTGTTATTTCTAGAGATCTTTTCGGGCTGTGAGGAGTTTCTCCCCTCTGTGATGGTTGGACCTGTGCTCCATGGCCACAGTGAGCTCCACTGTCCACTCACATAGGATCCTCCTGTGGTGGTGGGAATACTCTCCACAGATCCAAGGAACTCTTCTCTCTGTATGGCCCTAAATGCTCTTTGCCTCCAGTATGCTCAGTGCTCTGTCTGGCAGGCCATGAGTATCAAGAGCTAAACCTGCCTCAAGGTAACCCTGGAGGTAGAGGGTTGGTGCTGCTTTTTCCACATCCACATCATACCAGGCCCTGGATCCTTTGTGTCTGAGAGAGGATGAGTAGACATGCCTTGAGTTGGTGATCTACTTACTGGTGGCCTTACTCCCATTTGTAATCGGGTCATTTCCTACATGGCTCCATAGGGAGTTTACCCCAAAAAGGGCATGCTGGGCTATAGATATTGGGCTTTACCCATTGTCCTGGTGGACTAGCAAGGGCCCAGGTGGTACCAAAGTCTGGTACCCACAGGGGATGAAAATAAGGGTGCTTTTCTACAGGGGTCTGAGGTCCCTCGGCTGAAAAAGTCTTCGGTTGGACCATAGGTTCCACGAGGAGCTGGTGACTCCAAGAGAGTGAGGAAGAGACATTGTAGGGCTAATCAGAGAACACTGACTTCTTTCTGACATTCCCATGATGCCGTTGGAGCTCACATTGTGACTGGTGACTACCTGAAGATGTGACCTTGAGTTGGTGGATCCCCCTGTGTATCCCTTTCTTCCTTCTCCTGGACTGACTGAATGATTAAGGGCAACAGGAAACAATGAATGCCTACTGAGTACTGGCCCTGTACTGAGGTCCTACAGGTGATACAGATAGAAACTCATTTATTTTTCACCACAAGCTTCTGAGAGGCACTTTCATTTTCTCACTTTACAGTTGGGGAAACTGAGTCCAAGAGAGGCATTGGAGCTTGATGAGGTCATAAGGCTAGGAAGTGGCAGTCCTGGGATTGGAGCCCAGAATTTTGTTCCTGAGCCCCAGCTATACTTTTCTCAAGATTTTTAGCCTTCCTGAGTTCATCTGAGAAGTTAGGATAAAAATTGCACATTCTTCTGTAAGGTAGCTATGAGGTCTGTAGGAGACAATGTCAGGTAGGCAAGCCAGTGCTCATGGTGAGGATGGGGGCAGTGGTGGAAGAGGAGGAGGTGAGTGAGGCCTCTCCAGTGGGATGTCCTCTGCATAGATTTTGCTGGTCTGTTGAAGTGAGCTCTCAACAAAGGCAGTGGGTTCTCTTATACGACATCCTTGTCATATCTCATCTTCCAGGTTTTACTCATAATAATCCCTCAGTTGAGATTTAGACCAAAATGAAATGGAATCCTCACAGAACAAACCTGTGGCATGTCCCTCTCTTTGATAGGTAGGCAGAGGCAGGTGGTCAAGGTCTCACCCTTGCCCCACTGTGTGGCTTTGGGCCAGTCCCTGGATCTCTTTGAGCCTCTATAAAGTGGCAGAAGCGGTATCTGCATTTTGGACTCAGAGATCCCTATAACAGATCCATCATGGGCAGCTCTCCTTATCACTGTATTTGAGTTGACATGGACATTGCTTGCCCAACTCAGGAGTAGGCTCTGCAGCCAAGTTGTGATCATCCCCTTTCCAGAAACAAAATGCTATATTTGAAGCATGAAACCCAGTATCAGACTCTACAGCTGAAGTTCAGGCTTATGCTTCATGTTGTTGCTTAAGTGACAGTTATCGTCATGAAGTGAGGGACTTGAACTTTGTGATGGGGAGCCAGTGCAGATTGCCTCTGCTTCAAACTTTTACAAATTGTATGATTAAATGAGAGGTATTTTCAAGAGAATTTATATCTTTAAGGAGACCTAAGTGGTAGGTAAACCAGGCTATTGGCTCAACGCAATGGAAGAGGAGAGATTTAACAAGGAGCATTGCAGAGGGTCTTCACACACACATTCTGTGTGCTACTTTATCTTGCTGAGGCTGTGTTAGGCTTTTTGGATCTGTGAATGTATAGTTTTCATCAAAGTTTGAAAATCTTTGGCCATGATTTCTTCAAATTTTTTTATTCAACACCAACACATCCTCTTAAGATACCAGTTATATGTATATTAAATGTATGTCTGACTTCTTGATATTATCCCAAAGAGTAAAATTAGCTGAAGAGCCCTTACGACCTTTTTTCTCTCTGTGCTTCATTCCAGATAGATTCCATTTCTGTGTCTTCCTGTTAACTTGTCTTTTCTTCTGCAGATGTCTTATCTGCTTTTAATCTATTTCAGTGGATATTTGCTTTCAGATAATTGTTTTTCATCTCTAATTCTATCTGGTTCTTTTGTGTCTACCATTCTGTTCCTCATCATGTTCATTTTCCTTTAAATATTTGTATATAGGGTAATTTAAAAAATCCTTTCCTGTAAGTTCCAGCATCTCTCTAATTTCTGGCTCTATTTCTGTTGATTATTTTTTTCTGCTAGGTTATGGATCACATTTTCTTGCTTTTTGGCATAGGTAGTAATTTTTTATTGGACAAGGCACATTTTATCCCCCACCATGTGAACTCTGGGAATTGTTTTGCCTACCATTTCTCAATCATTCTCTACCTAGCCTTGTAGAATTTACTCTGCATGTGTGATTTTGTGGTCAGCAAAGACTCACAGGGAGCCATATGCATAGCTTTTGTCTGCACAGCTCCCTCTTTTCTGGAACTCTTCCTCCTTAGATTCCTTGTTGTTGTTGTTATGTCCCGTTGAGTTGGACCCGACTCATAGCGACCCCTCCTTGGGTTTCCGAGGCAGTGTCACTACGGAAGTAGATTGCCCCATCTTCCTTCCGAGGAGTGGCTTGGTGGGTTTGAACCTCCAGCCTTCTGGTTAGCAGTCAAGTGCTTTAGGCACTATGCTGAACTCTGAGTTCCACCCTCTCAACTCAGGGAAACCCTGAGAAATAAATTCTTTAGGTTCCTTCTCCTGCCCATAGTCTATAACCTGTCTTTAGGCAGTAAACTGGGACAGTGGAAAGATCTGCCTCTTTTGTGTCCTTTCCCCGACTTCACTATCCTGTGCTGAGTGTCTGTTGAGTGTCTGACATTATTGTTTCAGTATTTTGTCCAGTTTTCTAGTAATTTATGAGAGTTAAGTCTAGTCATTGTTCCACATGGGTGGGAGTGGATGTTCCCTGCACTATGGGGGGACTGTGTCTTGGAGGAGCTAGCCCTGAGTGTCAGTGTGGGTCACACAACTCTCTTCATCTTGTTTCAGGGTATCAAGCCAGCCAGCTTTGAGAAAGTGCATGATCCTGAGATCAAGGAGATTATTGGGGAGTGCATCTGTAAAAACAAAGAGGAAAGGTGAGTCCCGGGGCTGGGTTCTATAATATTTCTCCCGGTGAATGATCTCAACTGGTATTTGGAGCCATATTCTTGATAAGAAAAAGAGAAATTCAAAAGACAAGACTGGCTTCAGCACAAAGGGTCTCAAGTGTGCAGATAGCAGCTACATGGATTAGTCCAGGGTGCACACCAGTAACATCTTGGCCAGCATTTGCTGTTGAGGAGCCCTCACCACCTCTTCTGCATCTTGCTGATGCAGTCTCCTGGAGCTCCCACCTCTATGCCTCTTCTTTTCTTTGCAGCCTCCTCTTCCCCGTACCCAGCCTTGACTGCATGAGCTCCTGGGACTCCACCCTTTTTGCTTTGCTTTTTTCTCTGTATTGTCCCCCAGGTGGGCTTATTCATGTCCATAGCCCTAGATAAAGTAACACCTCAATTCTAGGCAAGAAGTTCTGGTAGCATAGTGCCTAAGGCATCTGACTGCTTACCAGAAGGCTGCCAGTTCAAACCTACCAGCCACTCCTCAGAACGAAGGTTGGGCAAACTACTTCTGTAGTGATACTGCCTTGGGAAGCCAAGGAGGGGTTACTATGAGTTGAATCTGACTTGATGGCACATAACAACAACATTCCAGGCACTTCCAGATTCATTTTCATCCTGACCTCTTTTTTCAACTCCAAGCTGTATATTTTACATACCTGTTTGTCTCATCTCAGAAGTCACATGCCTAATCAGAGCCCCTGAGCTGCCCTATAGAACCTACTTCCCCACCTCAGATCAGGGTAACACTCACCCTCCCTCCTTCCTCCCCTTCCCATCCTCCTTCTTCCCCCTTCTACTTTTTCTTTCCTCATCAATCTCCTTCTACCCTCCCCTAGTTCTCCTACCTCCTCCTCTTCTGCCCATTCCCTCACTCCTGCTCTGCTTCCCCATTCCTTCTCCTCCTCTACTCTACACCTCCCTCACCCCTTCTGTGCCCTCCTCTATCCTTCTTTCTCCCCAGTGAGACTGGGGACAGTGAGACCATATTACTTTATAACTTTTTCTCATTCCTTAGACTTCAAGGAATGCATATGTGAACTATGTGTGCTACCCTCAAGGGCAGAGTTTGACCTGCCAGGTGGACCTTGCAGAGGGAGAACTTTCTAGTGACATGGGCTGGATCACAATGGCTGTGGCAAGAGAGGAACCACACCCTTGTAGCCCCTTTCACACCACAGGCCTTTCCCTGCCCTCTCCTATGACTGTGCCAGGCTTCCAGGTGTCTGGTTCAGGAGGGCAGTGATCTGGGCATGTGTGGCCCACATGGCGACCTGCCTGGTCAGACTCTTGCCCCTCCTCCAGGTATGAGATCAAGGACCTCCTGAGCCATGCTTTCTTCGCGGAGGACACAGGGGTCCGAGTGGAGTTGGCAGAGGAGGACCATGGCCGGAAGTCCACCATTGCCCTCCGGCTATGGGTCGAAGACCCCAAGAAGCTGAAAGGGAAACCCAAGGACAATGGGGCCATAGAGTTCACCTTCGATCTGGAGAAGGAGACACCTGACGATGTGGCACAGGAAATGGTAACACTAACTTGTCCACTCCCATGTGGTGCATAACCAGGGCAAGGCAAGTGAGCTGTGCTCTGAAAAATTAGAATGGAAGTAGTCATCCCCACTGCCCTGAAAGAGTGCAGTCCTAGAAAAATGCAGCCTGGTGGTGAGGTACGGGCATTGGGTTGGAAGCTTGTGGCAGGCTGGGTGGGGGAAGACTAGTGGTGCCAGCCACACCTATGAAAGTATGTCTATGTAGTAAAGGAATTATATGTGAAAACAGTGAGAGTGAACAAACAAGAAATTTTAGTGTATCAGGAAAGGCCTTACTTGTTTTGAGCAAATTCTTGCTAAATTTGCTTAAATATGTTGGATTTCACTTTGAGCCCTTTATTTTCTGTTTTCTCTTTGAAGGCATTGTTGATGTTGTTTTCATTTCTGGCCTCTGTTACTTTACTTTTCCATGGAGAATGGTGAAGGTGAGGACAGGCTTTCCTCTCTTCTTCCTGTCCTCCTCTTCTCCCCTGTGCTGTTTCCCCAAAAACCTCCTGCTTGGGTGAAGGAGAATGAGGGGAGGGTATGATTCCTAGTATCAGACTGGGTCCCGAGGAAGAGAGGGGATTTAGCTGGTAGGGGAGAAGGAACAGAAAAGAGAGGTAGTCCATGGGGCCTGGTAGGGGTAGACCTGGACCCCTGCCTAGAGGAGCCCTGAACAAGCTTGGGTCTTGGTTCTACAGATGGTGATGGAGGATTTTGGTTAGGTTGTACAGGGAGCCTTCTGGGAGCTTATAATTGAGTCTGGTCCCTGCTGACATTGGGCTTAACTGCATGGGGGAGAGAGCTGCCTCTGGGCCATATACTACCCATGGAGGTATTAGAGGACTAATGGATCAGGGCAGTGAGTCAAGTCCTGCTGGGGCTCTTGGGCCATAAGGGCACACAGAAAGCATGCCTTGTGGCCACCCCAGCCTCTCCCCAGCTGCATGATGGGGCTTACTCTCCTGGTGACCCTTTATCTGGAGGTTTGGGAGAGAAAGCATCCTGAAGGCAGGGGCTAAGGTGTGGTAGGGGGACATTTCGTAGGCTTTGGCACCTGTATGAGTTCAGCTCTACTCTGTGGTTTGGCTGGGAGGAGGCTGGGTGATCCCAAGAGTTGCTGTGAGAAGTCCACCATGTGGCCTGGGAAGGTGTGGTCAACCAGTCCCCAAATCTTGGCTTATCCAGATCGGGACTCTCCCAATACTGCATGTGTCACTGAGTGGAAGAAGCCTGTGCTGCACATGCATGTAATGGGCCAGTGTGTTCTGTGTCCTGAGTTGGTCTTATGTCCCAGGCCCTGTTTATTTTGTGGCGTACAGAGGTGTATTTTTTAAATTCATTACCTATATACTTACTGATTCATGTTAAAATTACTACTTGACGTCAGCCCTGTGAATCCAAGAACACTATTTCTATTCACTGTTATGATGCAGAGGTTTCTTAAAGTTTGTGGAGGGAAATTAAAGAATAAATATTAAGTAACTATTACAGGTGATACCTTAGTGTACTGTGGTGGTAATAACAAATTACGACACATGTGGGTGGCTTAAAACAGCAGAAATTCATTCTCTCACAGTCTAAAGGCCAGAACTCCAAAATCAAGGTGTTATCAGGGCTGTAAGAAGCTCTGGCAGCACAGTGCCTAAGACATTTGAATGCTAACCTATAGTTTGGTGGTTCAGACCCACCAGTGGCTCCATGGAATGAAGATGGGTCAATCTACTTCTGTAGATTCTATCAATCTAAAGATATACCACCTTGGAAACCCAGTGGGGGTCACTATGAGTCAGAACAAGCTCTGTGGCAGAGAGTTTGGTTTTTTGGTTTTATTAAGGCCAGTCTCCCCTCCCTCTGGAAGCTCTAAGAGATGAAACTTTCCTTCCTCTTTTAGCTTCTGGTGGCCCCAGGCCTGCTTTTGGCTTGTGGCAGAATCACTCTCATCTCTGCTCTCATCTTAATGTGTATATGTTCCTTTCTTATAAGGGTACCAGTCATAGGATTAGGGCCCCCCAACTCTAGTATGTCCTCATGTTAACTGATAACATCTGCAAAGGCCTGTTTCCATAAAAAAGGCCCTGTTCATGGCTACTAGGGTAAGACTGCAATATATATTTTTTGGCATCATAATTCCAACCATAATAGGGGGTAGGCAGGGAGGGAAGAATTTATGAGTGCTGGGGTTTAAGAAATGCTGGTTGAGTATTGAGAGTCCTTTTGGGGAAAATTTTATTTTTAAATATGTAGAGTGGGCCTGGGTCCCACAGACCTAGTTGTCTGGGGGTAGAGGAGGTGGCTGGCAATGGGAAGAATCTCTAGGCCTTTGTGGAGGTGGATGGTCTCCTGTTGCTTCCCCAGGTCCTGATACCAGCCTACCATTGGCCTGGCCTTTCCTGAGTACCCCTGAGCCACTGCTGGGCTAAGTAAGACTTCTGTGTTTAAGAAAGTTACCTTTCTCAGAGTGCTTGCTTACTTCATAGTTTTTCCTTATTGGTTTAAATAAACAAGTACATTCACTTATTGCCATTGAGTTGATTCTTACTTATAGTGACCATCATTTGGTTTCCAGTGCTGTAAATCTTTATAGAAGCAAACTGTCTCATTGTTCTCCCATGGAGCGGCTGCTGGGTTCAAACCACCAACCTTTTAGTTAGCAGCCAAACTCCTTAACCGCTACACCATGAGAGCTCTTTAGCAAGTATACTTTTTTTTTTTTTTAAAAAAAAAAAAAAAAAAGTTATTTAAGCAGGTGGTCAAGATGGCAGACTAGCCTGATATACTTTCCAGACCTTCTATGACAGAGACCCAAGAAGCCAAGTGAAATGGATATGGATAGCATTCCCGAAACCCAGAGCTTCAAAGGAAAGGGTAAAAAAATAGATCACATATCGATTAGAGGAAGAGCGGAATGAAAACATTGAGCAGGGAGGCATATGGAGCAATGAACTACCAATGGGTCTGGCACAGTGTGGCCATTTTGAATTGTTGCAAACATTGTTCCAATCTGCACAGAAACAAGATAACTCACTGTCCTTGCCCAGAACTGCACTGGTACCCACATTGGTGATTGGTGACCAGAAAAATGTGATCCTCCCTCATGCCCTAAAACCTCCCAGTGACCAGAGGTGCAGCCACCCCACCCACCACACCCACTGTCAGCCAGTCAAACTCCCCCAACTGCCAGTGCTGTGCTGCCTTTTTTTTTTTTTTCTTCCCATTTTCCTTCCATTTTTTTTCCCTTCTCTTTCCCGTTTTCTTTTTCTTTCTTTGGATCTTGCAGAGTAAGTACCCTGCCCCTGTCATCTCCTCAGTCATCTGTGCTTGCTCTTGTACCTTTGTGTTGGTGATCAATGCTCTTATGGAGCAAGAGCCACAGTTACTGCTGCAGTTGTGTCTGGTGGCTAGCATTAGTACCAGTACTGTTTTGTTTTTTCTCCCCTCTCTTTTTCTTTTTAATTCTTCCCACTCCCACCCTTTGTTTTTTTAATTTTCTTTGTTTCTAATCCTTTGTAGTGGGTGCCCTGCCCTCTGCCTCATCCACAGTCAGCATTACCCACCCCTGACCCTCTGTAGTTGTCAGTGCATTCTCCCATGGAGTGAACGCTGCATTTCCCTTACAGCTGTGTTTGTCAGCTAGTACTTATGCCAGTACTCTGCCACCTCCATCTTTCTTTTTTTCTTTCTTCATAACTCTTCCCTATTCCTACCTTTTTTTTCCCATTTATTTTCTTTCTCTTCTCCTCTTCCCCCTTTTTATTTTTGATCATGTGGAGCAAGCTCCCTGCCCACACTGGCTCCGTGGTTGGCAGTGTCTGCCTCTGCCACCTTTGTAGGCAGTGGTGCATGATCTTTCAGAGAAAGAGCCCCATCTGTGGTCAACAGCACCCATCCCTGCCCAAACATAGTTGGTGGTACTTACTCCCACGGAGTGAGCATTGCATTCCTGCTGCAGCCATGTTAGACATCTCACACTTACACCAGTACTGGGCTGTTTTTACTCTCTTTCTTATTTTCTTTCTTCTTAGTTCTTCCCTCTTCCCCCATTTTCTCTTTTTTTTCTTCTTCTTCCTGTCCCCCTCCTTTTTTTATTCCCCCATCTCTTGGAAGCCAGTAACCTTACCCAGTCTTATGTGCCACATCTGGTGACCCATCCACTGGACGAGTACCACCACTCACTCCAACACCACTGTATCAATTACAGATGGTGACCAACACACACCCTGCCTGCCCTCAGCTTCTCTACATGACCAGCAATTAAGGGATTTGTGCCTATACTCTCCACTGCTACCAAATTCACCTGGAGACAGATGGTAAGTGCTTCAGTGCTGCCAAACTACAGGCCAGAGTAGCACACCCAGCCCATTGCCCAAATATATTCAAACAAAACAAAATATCAGGGTGAATCAAATGAACATGTAATCAACATACTAATACCATAATACCACGATGTCTCAGAGACACCAGACAACTTTAGATCACACAAAAAATATTGGACAACATGACATAAAGAAGTGACCAAAATATGGGGCCAGAACATATTCTGGAGGAAGAAATGCTATCCAAACTACCTGATAAGGAATTCAGAAGAATGGTACTTAGGTCCCTTCAGCAGGTTAACAAAGCTGTCAAGAAAAAGAGAAAATTTAAAAAAAAAAAAAAAAGGAAATGAGACAAAATCAATGAAAACACTGACACAGTTTGAGAAGAATTTGAATGAAATACAGTAAAATGACAGCAGTAACTACATACCTATCAATAGTTACACTGAAGGTGAATGTTTTAAATGTGCCAGTCAAGAGACAGAGAGTAACAGAATAGATGAGAAAAGATGACACATCAATATACTGTCTGCAAAAGTCACATTTTAGGCAAAGACAAAAATAAGCTTAAAAAAAAAAAAATCAAAGGATGGAAAAACATATACTAAGCAAATGGCAACCAAAAAAAGATCAGGAGTACTGATATTAATGTCTGATAAAATAGACTTTAAGGCA